TTTATGGGTTCGAAGACTAGAAGCGGGCTTCTGTCTCCTCTTTCGCATTAATCATAGTTCAAATTTTCCTCGGATTTCAACACTTACCCCTAGTAGTCGCCCATACAATCTTCGCAACTCGTCTCTAATTATACCTCTTCCAGCGTCCTCCACCTCTAAGCGCTCCCTTTTTTTCGCTTCCAGGTATACTTTCCTCTGGAATAACCTTCCAATAAATATAAAATCTTCAGAAAATCTACACACCTTTAAGAGAAGGCTATGCCTTTATCTGAATACTGACTCGATTAAACTTTTATTTTCCTCATTTTTCCCAGACAACTTTTTCTATGACATTGAGAAAGGGCCATCGGGAATTTAGTATGCCGCCATTAAATATCCGTATCTGTTCACATTTCCTTTCTTTGTGAGTAGTCTCGCTTCCTAAGATCCCTCACCAGAAATGTTAATTTTTCCAATTTTTCAGTTCATGCATCGTGCCCTCACAGAATGCGCGCCATCGACGCTCTTGGCGAAACCTTCTGTATTCGGCATATACTAGTAGTTTGGTCGCATCTCCCTTCCCCCATCCTCGGTTGGACTCGGATGAATGTAATCGACCGCATCTGGGTTCCTATCGCCTCGAGACTGATCTTCATGATGCCCTCACTGAATGCGCTCCATCGATGCTCTTGGCGAAGCCTTCTATATTAGCCATATACTAGTAATCTGGTCGCATCTCCTTTGCCCTATCCTCGGATGGACTCTGATGAATGTAACAGACCGCATCTGGGTTCCTGTCGCCTCGAGACTGGTTGTCATCGTGGCCTTACTGAATGCGCTCCATCGGCGGTCTTGACAAAGTCTTCTATATTCGCCATATACTAGTAGTCTGGTCGCATCTCCCTTCCCCCCATGTTCCACCCATGTTCGGATGGACTCGGTTGAATGAAACCGACCGCATCTGGGTTCTTGTCGCCTCGAGAATGGTTGTCATCATGCCCTTACAGAATGTGCTCCATCGGTGGTCTTGACAAAGCCTTCTATATTCGCCATATACTAGTAGTCTGGTCGCATCTCCCCAGATGTTCGGATGGACTCGATTGAATGAAACTGATCGCATCTGAGTTCCTATCGGCTTGAGACTGGTTTTCAATTTCGCCACTTATTTTTCTTATTCAAGGCGATACAGGCCAGTCCTGACCGACCCGCCTACGTACCATTTTATGAAATTCGTTACACAATGCCATTTACAGCTGACATCTATTTCGGCCATGTTGATGTCGGACTATAGTCCATTTTGTACCACCACATGCAGGCCAGTCCTCCCTGTTTTTTTCTGATGCTATTTTTCCGAGGGGTTTTTTTTCTCCTGTTAAATTACTACAATCATTTTTAAAATTTGCTTTGGAGTTTTTTTTCACCCCTCGTTTTTTTCATTTTCATTTTGCTTAACGGACTTCTAATCTCAAAAACTATGCATTGCACTTTGTGCAGATTTTGCCTACATCGTCTAAAATTTGCATGTAAATTTATTTTTACTTGCTTTGATGGGACCCTGACGGGTCTTTAATAAAATAATTGAATTGTCAGGCCGTGGAACTCGCTTCCAAACGAGATGGTGACGACTGACACAGTTTGTGTGTTTAAAAGAAAACTTGCTCGTCTAGTTTTCGACAGAAATCGGCTTGTACAGCATGACTATGCACAGCCAGTTTTGTAAAATCCGTCATATACAATCTTCCGCACTAATTTACAGTAACCCCATGCACTACCTTATGATTACGATTGAAGTATGGCCCAATCACTTTTTAAATGCCTGCAATTTTATTTTATTTTTGAGTTTGAATCTGCGAAAGCACTGTACATAAATAGGGTCGTCAAGGGCTCTGCCTGTAACCCTTCAATATATACATATACATATGGTAGGGGGCGCTCACCGATCGGTTATACTGAACTCACGCGTTCCGTTGTGCCTTAAGGGCTCTCTCTCGAGCCCAACCAGCAGCCGCACAGCGGCGCATGATACATAGGCAGAATGGCATTACCGACAAAGACAAGGGAGACTGGAATGGCCATTTCTGGCTTATTAGCCGTCGTCAGCCAGCCATACCCAAGCCCGAAGTGTGGAACACCCGAGCCTCGAACTCGCGACCTGTTGGTTTAGAATTCTACGCCTAGAGGCGTCTAGCAAAACAGACTCCCAGGGCGTCGAACATCCCGTCTCTTTCGCTGGTAACACGTTGACGAAGGCTCAGCGGAACTACTGCACCTTCCGCAGGGAACTGTAAGCATCTCTTGATACTCATTCACACGCAGGAGAAGAAGGTACATCAAGTAAGGGGTATGGTATAATATAACGACATTGGTACGGAAAATGTATATAATAAACGCTAGTGTGCACGTAGAATGAGAAACTGCAAATCGATGATCCGTCTGGATGGATAGTTGACCCGGACATACTAGCTAAACTGCCGGTGGGGATGCAGTTCTGTGGGCAACTGCAGGGAAGGGCCGAGGGGGAGCCGACGTTGAGTGAGCGAGATGAGAGCGGCGATGCGTTGTGGGAGGGGGGTGTCGGCGGTATCGAGAGGAAGGGACACCGGCCGTCTTCACCAGCATGCGGTTACAGCATCTCCATCCCAGGCCCGCGCCAAAAAATGTTCCACCATTCAAACAACCCTGTTCAGATGAAGGGATGTTACACAAGCGAGACGAAGTTGTCTGTAGGTGACCAATGAACGCTTAGGGTCGCCAAGACGCGGAGGGGCCCTGTAGCCACTAGTAGCATGGAATAGCTACCTGATATACTATTATCGCGGAAATCCTGCTTCGAAGCAGCCAAGGACTCAATATAAGTGTCAAACTGCACCCGAGGCGCAGAAGCCTTTGTCAGCGCTTCCGTGGACAGATGGCGAGCAATATATCGCGCGTGGTTCTTGGCTGCGACTGAGGCTAAGTGAACAAACGGGCCAGCAAATGTTTAGCCCTGGGCGCCTAAATGCTATCAGATAGAATGATTTAGCAAGTACAAGTGTAAGTAACAGGAGTGAAGGGAACTGTAATATGCATATAGTAATATTCAGTAGTAGAGGAAAGGACGAATTACAGCAGGGGAGTGACCGGTCTGGATGGAGAGGTGACGCCAACATACTAGCTAGACAACCCGTGGGGACTGCGGCGCTATCGGAAACTGCGGGCTAGGACAGTGGAAAGTGCCGGCGCGGGGGGGGGGTGGACGGACATCACCTTAACAGCGGTGAATGCGAGAATAGGCCATTGTTTATTTTCGCCGACACGCGGTTATACCATCTCCATCCCGTGTCCGTGCGGGAAGAAGATTACTTCATTAAAGCAACTGTGTACACTTCGTGGGCCGTTGCACCTTGTAGCGTGCAGGATTGAATTTTCCTAGCTGCCTGCTTGTGTTGTCATTTACTCTAGAATCCCTTTGTGCTTCGCTAACTTCTCACTTCCGTCCTCGAATAAACCTCTATCATTGGGTGACCTTATTTGATGAGGTGCGTTCATCGGTTTGTTTGCTACTAAACTGGTGGCAGCGGTTCTTGTTATGACTCACGAGCAAACATCTTCGGAAATAACCAGGTTGCCCGACAGCGCAGGCGAAATGGGGGTTTTCCAGACCCATGTGTCCGTTCTGGAGACTAGACTCTAGACTATCCCAGGACACACTCACGTTTTTAAATCCGGGCAACAATTTCGACATCCAGCACTCTCAAGTCAATGCTCACTTGGCCTCAGTCGCCGTCAGGGACCGCGCGCGATATATTGGCCGTCATCTGCCGACGAAAACGACGACAAAGGCTTCTGCTGCTGGATTGCAGTTTGACCCTGATGTTGAGCCACCGCTTGCTTCCCTTCTTCGCGTCTTCGCAGCCCCAAGTCCCAAGTGGGCACCTACGGGTAATTTTTGTCTCATCAGCTCCCTGGTGAGAGCGCAAGAGACTTCTTCGGCAGTCTTCGTCCCCTTGTCCTCACAGCTTTCCCCGGCCAACCTTCAACTGTGGCAGATCTCGTTCTGGCCGCGCACTTCCGCGCTGGTTTGCTGTCTGAAAACCATCACCGGAAGCTACCGTAGAACACCAATCTTCGGATTTCTCGAACTCTTGTGCAGGAGTACGATGGACGCTATGGGTCGCCGGTCGCCATCCCATGTTACTTAGGTTCGCTCCTCCGGCAACGGCAGGCTCGATCTGTGGCGACGCAGACATACCGAGATTTCACGCGTTCGCTCCGAGGCCGTCAGACACGACCTTTTGAAATGTCGAGTGAGCCCTATACAGTTCCTACTATAACATCAAACTTTAACTTTCCTGTACCTATCCTTGATGTAACCGTCAACAACAGGCGATAAGCATTTCTTGTTAACACAGGGCCCGCCCGCTCTTTGCTAAACCCTAAGGGGTTCCCTCGCGCCCGGCTTCAGTAAGCCGGTATTTCACACAAGCCACGCCGTATCGTGACCGGACATATTTCCTATTTCATGAGGTTTCTTGGGGATTTAGAATAAGGGCGGGTCCTCAAAGGCCGCTCGGATTGATTTTTAGAAGTTGTCTTCTCTAGCGCTCTGGCTTAAAAGCCTAACCATAAGGCAGCGGTGGCAAGTAAACTTATTTAAGGGCGGTTTACGGTCGCCATGTCACAATGCCGTCATAGGGTTTTGCGGCTTTTTACAAGGCTTTCAGTGTGCCAGACCTCAGCCCACCGCACCCTGGTATCAATGTCGCTGCTGATCCGGGACTGCTTATTCGTCAGACCTGGGTCAGCTTATTTCGCAGCTAATCTTCACTGAAGGTCGTCCCACTATCCACCACCTTTGGACGCGCCGGGTTGCCAGCAGCTAGGCTAACGGGCAACCCGTCTTCCATGGGCCACTCGTCTTCCTCGGGAGGGTCCTACGCGAAAGTGACGGCGTTGAGTTTGCACCCGGACATCGACTGACTGATCTCGACTATGCCGATGATATCGCCTTGCTTGCTTCAAGTTTTGGTGATCTGCAGTCTATGGTGTCATGGGTGAACGAGGTCGCTAAATCAGTCGGTTTGTCCATAAACGCTGGGAAGACCAAAGTATTCTCAAGCTGCATCCCTGACCAGGAGAATGCACCCCTCGGGATTGATGGCTGTCAACTTGAAGAAGTAGACACTTTTAAATACCTCGGGGCGAGGCTGCTGCCTAATGGACAGAGTAAGGATGACATTGTCCTCCAAATCAATGCTGCCCGCTGGGTTTTCTCAAGCCTTCGAAAACGCCTATGGAACCGACGTGACCTCTCCATCGCCACTAAGATTCGCATGTACCGTGCATCTGTCCGGTCTGTCCTTCTCTACGGTTGTGAATGCTGGGCTTTGCGCGTGGAGGATGAGCGAAAACTGAAGGTATTTGACCTACACTGCTTGAGAACCATCCTTCGAGTGAGGTTCACCCACTTCGTCTCAAATGAGACAGTTCGCGCTCGCTGCCACGAAATCACAAGGATAACTCAGGCCATTCAAGAAAGACGACTGAGGTGGTTTAGGCATGTTCTTCGTCGTCCACCTCAGGAGCTTAGTTTTACTGCCCTCGATCCGGCACTGTTTCCTAATTGGAGGCGTCGAAGAGGGGGTTAACTCAAAACCTGGCTCGACACAGTTCGTCAAGACATGGAGGTGGTTCTTGGACCTTCGGTTTTCGGTCTCCGTCGTTGGCGAAGAGAATGGGCTGAGCTGTACCGATCTGCTGCTGCGGATCGTCACGGGTGGCGAGGTACAGTCCGTGACATCATCGAGGCCGGCTAGATCAGGCATGATCGCAGCCGTACCAAGTACAAATAAGTGCAAATATCGTGACCGCGAATGGAATGCACCTCTTATTTTCGTCACTAATCGGAATTTCATCATTGCCCTTAAGTTTGTCCTGCAATACAGTACCATTGTATTTTGGGGGTCGATTTATCTCATGCTAATAATTTTTTTTCACCGATTTTGTCACCGGACGTCTTTCGTTTAAGCCGACCACAGTTCCTTATTATTTTCCCCATAGCTCCCATCGTTAGTTTGTCTGCGGTTTAGTCGATTTCACTCTTTCCGAGCCTTCTGAACTGGTACGCTTAGTCCCCGACTCCCCGATTTCGTTTCTGAACAGGTGACTGCCGTTCGCTATCTTATGTCCGAATTCCGCTGCTTTCTCATGGAAGGATGAACCTTCGGTTAGAACAGTCGTGTTTCAGCGCATCATAGACACGGGTTCGTCTCGCTCAATGCCTCAACTACTTCGGCGGTCGTCCGTTCACATCTAGAAACAGCAGGTCATCAAAAAACATGCTGGGCAAACACGTCATTCGTCCATCTTTTTGGCCTTGGGCCTCACTGATTGTTCTCGTTAAAAAGAAAGATGGATCCTTACGACTATGTATTGCCTACTGAGGGTACATTCTGTAACCGTCAAAGATTTCCTCCCATTACCTCGGATACACACTAGCCTAGGGCCCAAGCAAGTGTTGCATGTTTCCTTACGCTTGACCTACAATCCGGTTACTGACAGATGGAAGTGACTCCCGAGGACAGATGTAAGACTGTGTTCTCTATTCGCTCGGGGCTACACGAGTTTGAAACCGCGCTCTTTGCGTTGAAGAAAGCGCCTGGGACCTTTCGACGTCCGATGGCCTCAGTTTTACGGGACTTGCCTCCTACCGCGTGTCTCGTCTACCTGGACGATTTAATCGTACAGGGGTCTTCGGTCGAGTCACACCTCGCTAATCTTCCAGCCATTTCCACTCATATCCGGGCCGTAGACCTCTAACTGGACCCAGCTAAATGCACTTTCTATAAGACATCTATTCCATTGTCAGGTCACATTGTCTCAACTGACAGATCCCATGGAGACTGAGCCGATTAAACGCTGGCCACAACCTAAGCCCGCTTTCGAACTCCGCGTTTTCCTATTTTGGACACATAGCCTGTCATACTAACATAATATCCCGGTTAAATTCCATCTTATCTGCTACTTTTCTATTTCTCGTTTTAGTTCCAGCACGTCAATTGTAAGATGAATAAAGCCCTACGACAGGGTATTCTCGTTCTGATTCGTGCTTTCCCTCGTGTGCTTGCTGCGGTCCTACCTACAAAATAGTCGCCCCTCTGAATCATCTTACTAGCAAGCAGACTATTTTGCATTGGTCCGGCGAATGCGATAATGCCCTTGAGGAACTCAAATAGTGTCTGACATCCCCTCTTTTGCTGGTATTCCCCGGTATTTCCCAGTCAGCCCCTCCTTTCATATTGGATACCGGTGCTTCGAATTTAGCCATCGGAACAGTCCTCTCTCAACAACAAGGATGAACCTGAACATTCGCTTGTTTTTGTCAGTCAGACGCTGACTACGCTCAAACGTAACTACTCCACAACTCGTAAGGAGCTTCTTCCCGTCGTGACGTTTGTCAAGAAGTTTCCCCATCGCCTCACCGACAAACAGTTCATCTTAAGCACCGATAAACAGGCTTTGCGGGGGTTTGAAAACTTCAAGGATCCGACTGGTCAACTCGCTGGCTCTCAGGCAGACCTTTTAGAGAATTCAGACCCCGTCGTACATCGCGCACGTAGCAAGCATCAGAATGCGGATGCCTTGTCTAGCCGGACACAGACGCCACCGCCGTTTGACGCATATGCCACGGTGACGGCCATTTCGTCTCTCACTCCCGAGTATTTACGGTGGGCGTCAACTCAAACCACAGATTCCCAAATATCGCTAATTTATGCTCATATTTATCGCGGGATACCGAAACCGTCAAGCGAGTAGACGAAAAGTTCTAACGGGGAAACTCGATGCCTTGGTCGACGTGAGACAGCCTCCGCCCTAACGACGACATGTTTTTCTTCTACCAATCCACTTTTTGTCTTACCTCACGATGCGTTCCATCCCACACTCGCCCCCATTGTGATCTGCGCCGCGCTGGTCAGTTTCGCACAGACGCAGCCGCACCGCAGCGTTTTTGTTGCCAAAATGAACGCCAGGTCATACAGGACATTTGCAACACCTGCCCCGTATGTATGGATGTCAAAAGTCCCAACCCAACGCACTGCGCACCACCGCAGCCCATTCAGGAAAGCAACCCGAGCGCAATTGTTGATGTTGATTTAATGTGTCCTGTGCCTCCTTCCCACTTCGAAAATCGGTATGTCCTAGTCTTAGCAGACCTTTTGACCAACTTGTGCGAAGCCGTGCTGCCGTAAGCAAACACTTACGGTAGGCAAGGCTATCTTCAGCTAGTGGATCTGCCGCCATGGCGTGTCCCCGCAACTCCATTCAGACTGTGGTGCTTTGTTTGAGTTGCCATCTGGGTGCGTTCTTTGACTACCGTTGCCCATACGCCAATAGTGCTCGAGGCAGCGAATTTCAGAGCATAACTTGAGTGTAGTTTCGACATTATTCTCAAACGCCAATCGAACCCGAGAAGTTGTGATTTATTTTCCATCTGGACGGAAGCTGCCTTCCTAAGTAAGCGGTCCCCTGCAGACCATTTGTAATATATTACCCCTAGATAATTTAGTCCTTTCTTCTGAAGCAGAGTCTGTATGTCTTTCCCAATGTCCTACGCTACTGTAAATCCGGCGAATTTTTGACGGTCATTGTCAGATACTACCAAGTTCACATCGTAGGACCGCAGTTTGCGAAACATTACAATCGTGTCACTGGACCTTCTCACTTCCACCGCTTTGGAAACAGTTGCATATTTTGGCTTCATAGTTTTTAGGTATTCCAGCTTCTATTGTTCACTTAAGTCGCGTAGGAGAGAGATTGATTCAACCCTATGGTGGTAATGATTGCCAGACGGAACCCATTCTGTCTCTGGTGACTGCGGAATTAGGATTCGAAAGTTCTTTAGGCCACCTCGCCGGCACAGACTTATTGTGCACAATTTTGTGGGAAGTTGTCCCAAGACTCTTCTCCTTTCTTGGGACGCATTTGAAGGATTCGCACCCATCATACTCGTCTATGTGATTCCACTATCATATCATGTTAGGGCCATCGTAAATACACATTTCCGGCTTTTGGTATCCAGTAAGGTAACTGGTGGGTGCCCATTAGTTTGTAGTAATGGACAATGGTCTTAACCAGCAATAACTGCATCCATCGCTTGCCTTACTAAACATTTCAGCGACCCCTCTATGTCCTCCTCACATGAAATTAGGTGCATGCAAATGACCGCATAGCAAGCGTCATTAGTAAACTATAGTAAGTCTGACGCGTTTGAAACTCGCAGCGAACTAAAGGTAGTGGCTTGGGGAGTTTCCAGCTTACGAGCGAACCCGGTCCGCTGGAAGGCTGGTTGAACTGCAGTGCTCCCTGCTTTCAGTGGCCTTTATGAAACCCTTTAAATGTTGTGTAATCCAAGCCGTCCTATCTCTGAGGTCTAGTTTGTGTGCAGCCCAGGACTAGCACGTGTGCGGCACGCGTAGACAGGAACTCGACGTTGTGAGTCATTCGGCTTACGACCCTCTGGTCACCGTAACGTTGTTTAGTATTAATGGTCCAAAGTTTCCTCTAGACAACCATAATCTTAGTTACTTATGATTTAGTCACGCTGCTTTCTAGTTCCTACCTCTGTAGTATTTCTTCGATTTTTGCCCTTCGTTGGTTTATTTGACTTTTGCACACTCTTCCCGTTCCAGCACTGCGCCGCCCTCGAGTACGTTTTGTAAATAAATCTCCAGAAGCTGTGGAAATGAGTGCTGAACTCGAACTCGCACGACTTGACACATTCGTCAAGAGATCTATGTCCCGGCCTCGGTTCTAGGGCCTTGAGGTCACTAGCGCGAAAGATGACAAATAAATTAATATCCGGCATTTTCTTCGGAAAACTGGTAAGTTCCAGTGATGATAACGCAGGAGCCATTTGACAGTTGTGTCGTTTTCGACAGAAACCGATGATTAGTTCTGCCTACATCTGATTCGACTCTTTCCCCTTCCATTGTTATTTTCTTATAATTTCAGCCCTGCAAACAAAAAGCCCATTGATGGTTGACAGATTTTGTGGTGAATACCCTCCTGATCTGTCATATCTGTGGTGTCCCGTCGTCCACCGCTATACTGGGTTGAAGGCATTTTTCATGAAGTACTGACCCTGTGAATGTCAGCAAGACTTTTTCACCCCATTGTCCAAATTTGTATATGCATTTTTGACTGGTTGGCTTCCCATTGTTTCTGTCTACGTCTGTTCCGCTGCTAGTCGTCAGCGATTATCCCGCAAAATTGCAAATGTTGTGTTGACTCACCGGAATTGCCGGAAACTTCGGAAAGCCCAATTTTATTGGGGGGGGGGGAGGGAGGCAAACGTTAGTCAGAATACATGAAGAACCAGCGTCATTAGGAAATTCTTGTCGCCCACCTGTTAGGTTAGCTAGTCTTAAGCGCAACTGTATGCGAAACTGTCCTTTTCAATTCGTGCACTTAATAGAGCAAGTGTGCTATCCTAGCACACTTTTCGGCGACTTTGTAGAACCCTTTGCGTTACCGGTTCATCGCTTTTAGCCTGGTGCCACTGGGATGACGCCCTTTTGGAATGTCTACTTTATGCCCAGCGTTTATCACGGATTGAGCGCATTGCCGTGTGCTGCCCGTGGTATCAGTCTATCTAGATCGACAAGTGTATGCTTGTGGACGGTAGGCCCCTAGTTAGAGATCGCAGACAGTATCAGTCATTGCGACCGTCGGTGCAGGTTTTCCACCGCCGTCGTCTCGTACCCCCTGCCAGTTTCGTCATCAGCACTGGACTACATATATTGGTGATCTACTGGCCTGGTGTTTCGGATTCTCGATCCGGCCCATTGTCGTATACAGCCGCTGTCCCTGGTGATAGGCTCAAGTGAAAATGCGAAATGTCGAGCCAGCAAGCCCAATGTTTTAGAGATCGCATCTTCCTCTGAACTGCTTCCTGGGACACACCTCTTCGCATAAGTGAAGAAGAGGGTTCGAGCACTGGGACACTTTGTTTATTGTTCTGAGCTTTCGGACTCGTGCAGGGGTCCATCGACAGAGATCGTATGAGCAGCAGAACAAGCGACATAGGGCATGTAGGCCAGTCATCGACCGACGGAGCAAGATTGGAGGTGACTGCGCAGGGCTCTACGCCGGCGGCAGATCGATAAGTCGACTGACTGGGTCCTCATCTGAAACCCGGGCTTCAATCAATTCTCGGCCTATCTTGTTTCCGGCGTGGGCGACTATTTTGGTGGCTGCGAAGTTAAAATCGTAACCCATTTCGTAGGTGTGGGCGGCCAATTGTGATAATGCGTCGCACAGCCAGCTTATGTTCGTGTATGCGCGGTTCGAGCGTGCGTCCAGTCTGACCCGTGTAGTTACAGGGACATTTTTGACACGGGATGCGATACACCACTCCAGATTGCTCTTCGGGCTTTAACCGGTCTTTAATTCTCATGACTCTCTTGCGCCTGGTGGCTTTGGGACGGTGTGCAATTCGAACAACTAGCTCCGCAGCAATGCGCTCGGTCGCTTCTGAAACACACTTGATGTATGGCAGAGATTGCCATATCGTCGGTGGTGTTGTTGTTTGAGTCCTCTGGGAGTGACCGCATAGGCGGCGACTTATAAATGTCCTCGGATAGCCATTTTGCACAAACCGGTCGCGGAAATAACGGGCCTCACCTTCTCTGTCCTCCGGTTCGCTGCAATGAGTCTGGGTCCGTTCGAAGAGCGTCTTCACACAGCTTCGTTTGTGAACCACCGGATGGTTGTTGTGAAAACTGAGTTGTGTGGTGTTCGTTGCCTTCCTATAAACTGTCGTTTCAAGTTCACCGTTAAGGTTTCGTCTGATAAGCACACCCAGGAAGGGCAATTGATCTTCCTGTTCTTCTTCCCTCGTGAATTTCATATCAGAGAAGACTGCGTTGAGCAGGCCGCGGAAATGTTGCAACACACCCTTCTTTACGATGAAAAACGTGTCGTCTACGTAACGGCGCCAAAATACCGGCTCATGTCGGATGAAGGCAATCTTTTCTAACTCCTGTAGGACCCGTTCTGCCATTAAACCGGATACCGGTGAGCCCATTGGAGTTCCCTTGATTTGTTCGTAGGCCTCTCCAGCGAAAGTGGAGTTTGTTGGCAAAATTCAAACTGCCTCATGAGGTGTTCAATTGTGAGTGCATTCCGAGTCTCGTTGTACGCCTCTTCAAGTCTCTTATGCAAGACTTCGCGAGCCACGTTTTGTGGAATGGTCGTGAATAACGTCACGCTGAAGCAGACCGTGATTTCGTCCGATTGAATCTTCCGACCTCGGAGGTCTATGAGGAACTGAGAGGCTGATCGAACTGAGGTAGTCGAATTGCCTTGAAGGAACTTCAGTTTTGAGTACATCCACTTTACCAAGTTGTAGGTGGGGCTATCTCTTAGGGCAACGATTGGCCGAAGTGGGACACTTGCTTCGTGGATTTTTGGCAGTGCATAGAATCGACCTAGAGTGGTTTCAGTTGTCTTCATTTAGTGTCATTCATTCTCCGTGATCGCATTCTTTTGTCGGTATTCTCAGGAGAATAAACAAAATGTTCCGGTGCTCGAACCCTCTTCTTATGTACATACCTGGAACTCGGGATTTCGCCTTGAAAACTCTTAACTTTTATCGGCAAGGTTCACCGACGCCGAAGCCAGTGAAGCTCGATTTTTATAGCACAGCAGGGGTTTCATTCTGCTACATCCGTAAAGAACGCGCAAACTCTGCCTAACTCTCCTGTAACGTGGAAGAGTATCTTCCCCGATACCTCATCTCAAGCGGATGCACTAACACATCCAGTCGAAACGTAATAAGACTCGAACATAACCAGCTTCTCCGAAACTGTTGGTCTTAGTGCCTGACATTCACCTGCTGCCCCGCACAAAAATGAGTTACCTCGTCCGGCCAAGGGACGCCTTGTCGACAGAGGACGTCTTCACAGGGAATCGAGTTCGATGTCTATACTCAAAAGAAAAGGTGGCGAGCGAACGTTGCTTTCGATAACTTCTCGTCAGGCCAGTACAGTTATGTGACACGGGGTACAATGAATGAAAAAATCGACAGTTTTTATGTATGACTGCGACATTCTGCGTTGGGGGTTCCAGAAACTACTTGGGTCGAAATGGAGTGTCTGACGCGGAAATTATCAGTTCCACTGCGAATGCTTCCTTAATCGTCTGCCACGATTTGGCCGAGGCTGGACAAGTTTCTAACTCATTGCTGTGGTTATTTCAATGTCGTCAACCAAGTACAGGCGTGGGCATCAATGACAAAGGCGCTGATGAAGTGGCCTCTCAGATACGTACATCAGTTACTCCTTAGTAGGCCCCCACTTCAGGTCACCCTTCGTCTCTCTGAAACAGACGGTTTTCGCTCCATGGTTGCTAGAAGACTACCGGTGGACAGGGAAGTAGCCTTCGTCGGCTCCAGGTTTTTTGACTTTCATGGGGCCGGAATCGAGGAGCCCATTTCCCTTTATACAACAGGTATGTAGACGGTCAGTGGGGACAACGAATTACTGGAGGTTAAATCCGATCCCGGAGGAATGTTCGTACATTCTGTCAACCAAAACAGGGGGTCCTTCTTCGGCAGGTAACTCAGATGATATAACGCCACCCAATGCATCCAGCATTAGTGATATTATTAAGAGATAAGAGGAAGAAGGGCCGAGTACGCGGGGAGATGAGGGATGTTTGTCACCAAGCCGTCTCGGGATCTTCCGTCAATAAATGGATTCGAACAGCGCTACTGCAGGGTATGACCCTGCTGGGAACAACGTGCAGTTAGTCGGCCGATGCAGACGTCTGACGGAACCCATTTTACCATCTGTTAAACAAACTGAACTGCTATCGACGGAGAATATTTAATTAAAATGGGCATGAAGGTCTGTACAGTAGTGCAGAATAAAAAAACCTGATGTGGAATCAATTGGCTCTGGAGAGGTGGTAGGGGTCCTCATGGTGTGCCAGATGAGTTCGAAGCTGTGGTTGGTTGCACATCCTCGGACAGCGTCGTCTCAACCATGGGAGCTAAAGCAAAGTAAGTTGGATAGATTGGTAGAGTGGCGAGGTTGGCAAGATTGGGAATCGAGAGTAACGACAGTCCGAGAGGGAAGTAATCTCTTATGACATGCGTCGGCTCTGTTGCCAATCCTCAAAGGTTGTACGGCATAGCAACATCGGAAGAAGCCGTAACTACTTTGTCTACATTAGTCCACTTATACAGTCGCCGTCTCAGCGGTCAGCACTTGAGTTCACCGATCTCGGGGACCACTGCTTACCTGGCTATCTCTGATCACTCGTGTTGTTGGTCTCCCTGAACTCACCCTGATCGATGCGTCAACTGACCGAATTACTATCTGAGAGCAACCTATCCGGTGTCATCACATTCAGCTGTTCAAGAAGTTGGCGAAGGTATAGTGGGCTCAAGAGACATCAGGTGAGCGAACTGTTTCCGACTAAGCCGGGGAGTTTTCATTAGACGAAGTACCAGGATTTGTTTTTATCTTCTATGCTACAAGTGAATTTTGGGATTTACTTCTAGCAGAACATGCCAGGGAGGATCTAACTGCGTGCGGCAGGCATGAAAAGTCTAGTTTGACAAATCTACGTGGGTGCGGGAAAGCAGTTATGTGAACAGGGCAAGAGAGGATTTCACAGTTAGCTGGAAAAGGGAGAAATATTGCTAAACAGCCCACAGAGGAACACAGGTACATGTGTCAGGCGTCGAAAACGCGACGAATTGGACAAAAAACTACGCAAAGGACATCATGTTTAGTTCTCATAAGGAAG